AACATTCAGATTAAAATAATAAAATCCAATAATAACAGCACTGTATTGTAAATTTATGCCTAATTATTTGTATTATAGCAGAGTTCACCTGTATTTATAGCTCATTGCATTGTTTTACATGTGTAAATATCTTTAGTCAGTTATTTTCAGATGCTGGAATATTAATGTTTTTTACCATATAGCTCTCACAGCAAAGGCTGCAGTACCAGTTAAAGCAAAAACAATCCTATAGGGTAACCTATACCTCTCTCGGCTCTGATTGGATGTTGTCGTTCGGGCCGGTGGATTCTTACAGATACCGTTCGGAGCACCAGGAGGAGTCAGAGGAACCGGATTATTTCACAGATTATCTGTCTCATGTGTCATCTGTCAGGAAATAGTGAAAGTTTCAGGAAATATGACAAAAACGTATTTAACTACTGCAGCTTTAAGGCTAATTAGCTAATGTTAGCCTGCTTACATCGACCTCAGTCTGCCCTTTCAGAGCTGTTAGCATGACTATAGACTCTTAGTTTAAATATCATGTAGCGTCTATATTAGCAGGCTAACAAGCTCATATTCAATTCAAAGAGCGTTCAAGGACATTCAAGGCCTTTGTAAAGTCAGCACTTTCTTTATTTTCTTTTTATTTGCTTCTCTGGATTCCCGAAGGTTCAGAAGACTATAGGACTATATATATATAGACTATATAGGAGATTACAGTGTATGTTCACAAGCTGCCATTATCATACCTTAAATACGACTTTATATGAGTGAGAGTTTGGACTTGAAGGCTGATTTTAGGGTCTTTCTATGTCCTCCAGGATCCCTGCAGCTCTTTTCTGGCGGGGCGGGGGTGGTTGGATGATCCAGGCGGGGCTATCAGCAGATATGGCTGCCCTGTCATTTTAGGAGCCACACCACCATCATCCTATTGAGACAGCAGGTTTAAGGTTTCAGAAAAACAGTGGGACTTTATAGTCGCTGTAATTGGAGCAGGAGTCACATTCCTGAGCCGGGGAGCGAATCTGAAATAGTCCCTGAAATGTTGCTGCTTTGTTGTGCGGATGATGATTAAAAGACTCTACAGCCAGCTGACTTCTCCTTATAATTTGAAGGTCTATTTCTGGGGATGCTGATGGATCAAAAAAGTGAGAAGCGTGTTCCAGATGTGGGACTCTTCCTCCTCCTCCTCCTCCTCCTCCTCCTCCAGCTCCCACCTCCAACATATCTGACAGGGAGGAGGTGTGGCTGCGAGCGAGTGGAGGAGAAATTTGGCAAGTGCCCTCGAAAAGAAGCAGAAGGAGAAGAGGTGATTTAGTTCTGGAGAAGCAGCGGAGGAGTCAAACAGAGCTTCATCAGGAGCAGGTCTAATGAGGAAGAGGATGGAGGTTTTGTTCAAGATGAAGACTGCTGGGGTGCTTTTGTTGACGCTGTGTCTTCATCAGATTTACTTTTCTTCCGCTCAGGTGAGTTCAGGTGACTCTAACAGCAGCTACTGAGGCAGGAAATTCATTCATTTGAAATTCTTAACACGCGAAAAGTTTGTTACAGCGGTTTTCTGGATGCTTTCGCCTCTTCAGGCCTCTAAAACCTTTTAAATGAAACAATCTGAGAAGAAATTGCTCATTACTCACAACCACAGCCTGAGATGAAGGTCACAAGTAGACTTTTCTTGTTCTTTAAAGAGGTCAAAAGGCAAAACGGGCAGGAACTCCTGCAAGAAGCCTGAGAAAACACACATATATATTTATTTAAACTAAAAAATCAACAGTTTAAAATGACTAAAAATATACTAGATATTCAATAATATAAGATATAAGAACAAGAATTCATTAAAACACTAATAAAAGATACAAGATAAAAGGAAAAAAGTAATTAAAACAAACAACATTTTTTATGGTGGTTGCCAGAACTTAAAATACAGCAGAATGTTTCTATTATTAAAGTAAAATTATATTAGTACTGTTAATTTTACAGGTTTATGACGGTGGTTTTCTGCAATTTACAGTCTGTAATATTAATTATCTACTTTATTCAATATTAATTCCTTTAAAATGTCGTATAAATAAATGTTTTACTGTTAAAGAAACTGGTAACTGGTATGTATGTTTTTAAACTTGTTGTTATTGCTGCTGTTATTTCCCGTCTCGACCAGGAAACTCTTAAAGAGGAGATTTATTAGTTTCAAAGCTTTTCCTGTTAAATAAAAGGTACATTTTAAATGTATATAAAAGTTACAGAAATTTCTCAATTATTGGACCTTTTTATCTCATCAGAAGGATTTCTTGGAATAAAAATAGATTTAAAAAAATAAAAGTACTGACTCTCTACTATAATATATAATTATATATTGAGCTGAATTTGTACTTAATGCCAGAAAAATTAAGATTTTTATCATTTTTTATTAAAACAATGAAAAACTAAACTGCTGCTTTATTTCCAACACTGGGACCAGAGGACAATAATCTGGTTCCTCTGCCGGGATATTATGCAACCAGTGTTGTTACTGGTTCAATCTACCTCAATATTAGCTGGAATATCTTATTAACACACAGTTGGATATATTTTTTTAAAACCAGTTTCTAATACAAAACCTGTTTGATAAGATTATTTTTAGACAAAAAATAAGACTCATTTCCCAGAAACAAGATTGAGATTCCTGTTTTGCAGCTTTAATTATTATTATTAGTAGTAGTATTTATTCTTTTTAATTTCCTGGTGAGGTTTTATTTTCAGTTATAAAAGTGTTTTGTTATCAGATTTTAAATGTACTGTGAGTGAACTCCAACATGTTGAACTCAAGTTCACCCTCCTCTGGCTCTGAGTCACAAACCCAGAGGCTCATTATGTGGCAGCAGTGTGGTGTTGTGTTGTGTTGTGTTGTGTTGTGTGTTGTTGTTGTGTGTTGTTGTTTTTTGTGTCGTGTTGTGTCGTGTGCTGTTGTTGTGTTATGTTGTTGTGTGTTGTTGTTTTTTGTGTCGTGTCGTATCGAGCTCAGTGTTTCAGTTTGAGGTCAGCTGCGGGCTCAGGTCCAATTTTCACCCAGGTGTTACTGCAGCTCTAAAAAACCTCACCTCTATGTATAGACCTCACACCTGAAACACACTGCGGACTGGAGACAGACTGCTGCCAGCGGTCGGCTGTAGCCTTCTGCTGGTTAACTGGACTACAGTGCGGGTATAATTCATGATTATATGTGCATTGTAATTTTCCTCTTCTAAGACACCAGATTAATGATTCTTTATGGTTTAACTAGAGGCAGCCACACTGGAAGGTCAGTCATGCATGACATTCATGGTTTTAACATTAATTTGAATGTCCGGTATCATTTATAGCCAATTATTAACAACATTTAACACTAATTTTAGAGCTTTTTAGTGAATAAAACTGATAAAAACTAGCAAAATGTTTCCTGCCATAAATATCAACGTTAAAGAAAAACAGATCACATTATAACATATATTTTTATGTTGTACTTCATTGGCTGCTCAGTTTCAACTCGTCTGTAACAGGAAACAATGGCAGCTCGCCTGCTCACACAGGATCTG